AAATTATTCAATTAGCTAATATTATGATTGTTTGGCCAATGTTTGCTACAACGCAACAAATATTGTAACAAACATCGACTGTTCTTGAACAAATATGCATGGAGTAGTATTATTGTTTAATACATATTTTTTGTTTGTAAATTTCCTAGGGACCCTTTTCGCTGTGCAGAATGAGTATCTATTGTCGCATAAGAAAGAGAAGAACTATATATACAACCCATCCAAAAATTTGAGAATATGTTCGATTCATTTTGATAGATTGGACATAACTGGAAACACGCAAAGGCGTAGATTACTAAAAACAGCGGTTCCCAAACTGCAGGTAATTATCATAAAGTAGTAAAATTGAAAGTGTAAGATTGTGAAGGTAGTGTAGTGCTTTTGGTAAAAAAGTAAGTTGTTTATGACTTTTTCAGATTCGCGCACCAATAAAAGTGCAATCAGCTTTATGTTCAGAATAACGAAAGAGTTATTAAATCAGGTTATTAAAAAAAATCATTATAACAAAAAAAACTATAGCTGTAGGTATTTTCATGAAATACTTTAAAATTGTTGTCAATAAACTTTAACTTTTGAATATTGACAGAAATACGTGACGTACCTCGGGCTGATGCAGTTTGCTTGAAGTCTCCTGATGCATCATTATAAGATTTAACATCGATATGTGACACTCAAAAAAGGGTATTTAAAAAAGAAATTGACGACCTTTCAATGAACACCTACTACTTAATCCTACTACTTTTATAAATCGGTCAAAAATATTTGCCACCATACAAAACGACCCTTGCCCTAAAATATTTATATTCTGTAACTCTACGTCTTTCAATACTCACTGTGTTCCGAGCATTGAAATATAATACCAAGAACTACATCTACTACCAAATTAGAGTAAGCACGAAAATGTCAACATAATGTTTTAACCTTATAAATAAAGAGTTTGTTTCACTTTAGAATAAATATTTTTGTAACCTTTTTATTTTCAAGGGACATTCTAAACTTATTGCTTTTAACCTTCCTCTGATGAAAGGACTTAAATAAATATATTTTGCAATGGTGATTAAAAGTTTATGTTAGGGTGTTATAAGGTTTATAATAAACTGAAGTTGTTAATATTATTAAACTTTTTTCTAAGATAGATAGATGTTTATTTGTGTGCAAACGTGGCCACTTGTGCGACTTATTTTTGTTCCTGATCCTTAATCTAGTATATAAATGATCGAAGCTTAACATATATATATAAAATGGCTACATAAAGTGAAAAGTGTGTACAAACTGTACACCCTATTTCACACTAAGGGCTTGAAATTGCACCATATTTCAAAGTCTAAGAAAACATTCATAATTTTTTCTTCATACAACTTTGAATACCTCCACCCTCCCTACAAAATAAAGTTTCATAGAAACTGTCCCACCATTTTTCACCCTCTCAGGGTTTTAATTTTCCAAAATATTTTCTTTTTGGCTTTTGACTATTGTCCTAATTTCACGCTTCTTTGTCGAATAATATGGATTGTACGTCTTAATATAATATTTTTCATACAAACTGCATTTTCGTCTTACATTAACCTTATGGATACAGTTTTTAAGCATAAAAAATGGATATCTTATTATTTTAATTCAAGAGTATTTGCAACAGTTCTCAAATAAATAACAACTATTAATTAAATAAGATAACATTTTATATTTATAATATTCTGATGTTATATTATATGTTATTTTGTAAATTTTATGTTCGTGGCGCAGCGGCTTAGCAATGAGTGGCTGCGCTGGGGCCGCGGGTTCGACTCCCGCATGGAACAAGCCTATGGCCTACAAATAATTGTTCTGGGTCTGGATGTTTTTCCTTGTGCAATTTATTTATTTATTTATAAACTTACACGTAACACCTTAAGCTAAAAGGTAAATAGGGCGGACTTAATGTCATGTGGCATTCTCTGCCAGTCAACCCTGGGTGCCAAGGACAATTGTTGGCAGGTGCGACCATTATACGTAAATAAGTGCTTATACATTAAAATATACATATATGCAAAGTATTTACATACACATTACATTTAAATATACACACATAAAGTATAAATATACGTACAAAATACATACATACATATACAGTGTGTAAGTGTAAACACCGTTGTCACTGAAACCATAGTTGGTTGGCTTTAATATAAAAAAAATTATCCGATTTTAAAAAAAAAACGCTATTTTCTTTTATAAAATTAAAAAAGTTTCTGTCCGACACCGTCCGTAAATTCATGGATACCCTATGCGCTCGAGTGACGTAATCACTGTAAAGATCACCGCCCGCCCTTGCTATCTACACAACATTTCATTATAAAGACAATGGTACACATAACCTATCACGAAACTTTTCCTTCATACTTTCACACTTGCTTAGGCCAGATAAAAATTCCTACCCTTTGTGTTGCGTGACGAGTCCAAATTAATGTAAGTTAGATTTAACAACAAAGAAAATTAAACATTAATAATAGTAAATAGTAAATCATTAGGTAGGATTTTTTGGCGTATTTACCGTATACCGTACCGCGGCCCTGGAACGCAAATGGCATTTGAAGCATAAGCTGACCGTTCATTGTACGGAAAGATCATACAAAGCGAGGCCAAGACAAAGGATTTGTACAGCTTGATGAGTAGCCTGATTGATTGATTATTTACACTTACCTATTAAATAAAATCCTCGTAAATGAATTCCATTTTGATCAGCTTTTACATTAATCGTAAAAGCTAGAAGCACAACAGTGTCATTTCTCTAAATACACTAAGAATTCGCCTTTTGAGTTCGGACGTATTACGGAACTTAGTTGCATACACTCGGCGCTTCACTTCTCCCCAAAGATAAAAGTCCAGCGGCGTAAGGTCGGTTCATCGCCCAGGAAACTCCTCAACCAGCATAGCCCTGATTTGCAGCTGAAAATGTGCAGGGGCACCGTCATGTTGGTAGTAGAGGTTTCTCAGTGAACGAAGAGGCACATTTCCACTGCACGTTTATGTAGGACATAATTACAAATTAAATACACTCGCACCAAAACTACAACCTAAAGCGACGTAGAATGTCGGCACTGCGCGGCGCAATTTTAAATCAAATTAACACGTACATTCCGTACCGACGCAGCGAAGGTGACTGACACACTGACACAGTGACATTGGCCATGACCGCGAATCGCTGCCGCTACCTACGATATGTTGAGATTTTTGTTGTGAATTCTGTAGGTATATCCCTACTTGCCTAGGGTGAAATAATTGTAAGAAAAAATTGAGATTTGACTAAAAAAAATGTTGTTATTTTTCATTGAAATTACTTTCTATAAGTGAAACCAAACCACTGGTTTCAAGGACAACGGTGTTTACACTAACATCCTGTATATTAGTATATATATATACATGCTTATAAACTTCGTAAATAAATATCCAAATGAATGATATATATAATATAATGTTTAAATAATATACAATGAAATAAATATTTGAAGTAAAAAAAGAAGAAAAGAAAGACAAAAATTAAGGAAAAATAATGTTAATTAGGAGTTTCCTTCAGGTAAAGTTCTCGGAGAAGAACTTTGAAAACTTTTTTATTTGTGGCATTCTTAATATCGATCAATTTATGTTTGTAAACTGCCTTCATAATATAGGAGAAAATCCTAGTATCCCCCACACTAGTACCAAAATGTTGGTTAAAAAGTTATAAGCCCTAGAACTTTGTTTTAATATTGATAATGCAAAATTTTTTCTCTTTTAGAGTAAACTTTCTGCCTTTTTGGTTTTTGTAGAAATTTCAATTGAAATTTCATAAAAGTCGATATTGTTTTTGGCAGCTTATCAATTATGTTTATTAAGCTTTCATTTCTGCTTACCATCTCTGCTACACGGCAGGACTTTTTAACATCGTTGCACTTATTTTGTAATTTCAACAGCCTATTTTTAATTGTTGGTAAGTTTTAAAATTTTTAATCTTCTCTATGTAAAAGACTTTCTTCTTACTTCCAGCTGAAAGCAAACAGAATAAAAAAATATTTTACTGTTAAAAGATATACAAAAAACTGTCAGTTATTCAATTTCCTTTTATAAGATATACTAACTATTGCCCGTGGTTTAGCTCTGAGAGTAGATTTTTTATAGAAAAAGGGTGGAAAACAAGCACACAGTCCACCTGATGGGAAGAATGTGCTGTGGTACATAAACATCTACATTTATCTGCAATTTAGAATCAAAATGCAGATGCGTTGTCACCCCTGAGGACTAAGATAAAATGCCTTGTTTACAGTAAAAAAGTCTCCAGTTCTCAGTCACTATACGAAACACAGCAGCATTGAGCCGCTATTTCAAACTATTATTGTAAGAGCGTGGTCATACACTGGTTGAGCTGACAAAGTTAATATAACTGCAGCATGGCTCTACCATGATCAGTATTTCTAAACAAAAGCCTTAGTCAAATCAAACTACACTTCTTGCTTTAAAAAATGATGAGACTCTTAGGCACAGTCATACTCCCTATTCCATTCAAAAATCCTTCCTAGTGGGAGTTTATGCTAAAAAAAGGTTATTTGCAGCTTTTACTATGCAAATTCTATACTGCAGAAATGAAGAAGATTTACTGCGCCGACCCCAGATAATGGGAAATGGCTTAGAGAATGATGATGACTATGCAAATTCTATGTTTTTCATTTCATAGTTAATAATCTGCTATAATATATCAGTTAATCCAGCTATTTCACTTTATTTATACACTAGTATGGGATAATAGTATTTTTTTAACCTAATGGAATGCGATAGATTTTTTATATTCCCTTAGGGATGATTCTCATTAGAGCGGGCCGAGCCAGGGCCGGGGCGTGGACGAGCCGGGGCCCGTCCGTGCTACGCAATTTATATTACACCGAGTGTTAAACGGGTTAATACGCCGCCACAGTCGTTTCGAAGTAGTGTAGTGATGTGGATAACTCCCGATTATTGTTTTTTTAATAATGATGGAGTTTTCTTTACTGGAGATGGCTGCTATTGCGATAGCTATTGATGAAGAGGAAGCAGAAACTAGGAGTAAGAAGAAACGGGCTAAACGAAAGTTGAGTGTGCATTCTCTATGGAGAATGCGTAATTTTAACGGAGAATTTAACACCTTATGCAGATACTTAGCAGACGATGAAGATAAATTCTTTGGATATTTTAGAATGTCCAAAGAAAACTTTAACATTTTACTAAATGAGCTGAAGCCCGCCCTTAAAAGACATCAGCCGAGATTAAAGACACCAATAGAACCTAAACAACGTTTAGCAGTATGTCTCAGGTAATCACTATAAAATAAATAGATAATGTTATTATACTTATTTATGTATTACAACACAAATAATTACTAGGTAATTATTTATTTCAATTTTTTATTATGTAAGATATTTATATTATTTTATGATTTTTCAACCAGTTGAGTCGGATTTTGGGGACAACTACTTGAGGGATTAAACTCCGTAAAAAATGTTGATAGATCTGTGTCTAAAGAATATCCTCTTGTTTTGTCAATGATGGTGGCGGTGGCGGCGGGGGTGTCGCAGTAGATACTGCTGGAGATACTGAACCCGATGTTGGTGACGTATATGATTGGGGATCAGAGCTCAACCATTCCCATTCTAATTCCTGAACAACTTGGAATATTCTTCCTTTTGCTAAGTGTTGATAATAGGAGGATAATCTTTTGACCGTCGGTATCAAGCCCTTGAAAAAAGTATCGATATGATCAACTTCCTCCTTGTTTTTTTTTTTGTTATCAATAATATATTTCATTAGTGAAGCAGAAGCCGAAAGTTCTGATGATGAAGACGAAGGTTGTGAGGTCGTTTTCTTCTGCGGACGAGCACAAGCTTGACTATTTTTAATGTACTTGTACGTTGAGATAAATTACGTGAAGTTGTAGGTGTATAATTTGCTGGAGTATAATTTAGTACGTTTGTTGGAGTATCATTTAATGGAGCAGTTGGAGTTTCATTTAATGCAGTAGTTGGAGTTTCATTTATTGCAGTTGTTGGAGTGTTCGTATTATCTTGAGACGTCTCTTCAGATTCATTGTCGTTAGAAATATTTTCGATCAATTCTCTGTCCTCTAAATGTACAACCAAAAATTGTAGCAATACGAGGAGTATTTATATTTCCTTAATTGTACTGCTGCTTGGCCGCTTTTCAATTGTCTTTTATTTAATTTTTTTAAATTGGTTCCTTATATTCGTCCATCTTGATCTACAAACGGTAGCTGAAACAAACGATCATAAACATAACATTTTGATAATTTTTTTGAATTTCTAGTTAATAGACGTTAAATAGATTAATAGTTAAGTAGACGACCTCCATAGTGAAACGGAAAAACATGCTCGATTTACCATTCGGAAGTCCCCGATTTGAATCTCGGTTGAGCAAGTTGGAAAAATTTTCAGCATTTTAGATGTTTATCTGTATATGTATTTATTATAAAATATTTCTTTATTTAATATAGTATTGTAAAGTAAGTATCCTCTAACACAGGTCTCAAACTTATGTGATTTGTCCTCTTATATTTAAAATTTGAAATCTTGTTTTTCAGATACTTGGCAACTGGAGATTCCTACTTGACTATTTAATTCAGTTTTCGATTGGCTCATACAACCGTCCATGAAATTGTTAACAGCACGTGTCTTGCTATTGTTAATGTACTTCTAAAAAAAGTTATGCCCCAACCGTCAGAAGATAATTGGAAATATTTATTCTTTATTCTAACCTAACTGTATTGGGGCTTTGGATGGAAAACATTTTGTCATTGAGGCACCACCTAATAGCGGTTCTATATTATATAACTATAAGAACACTTTTGCCATCGTACTTTTAGCGCTCGTTGACGCGCGTTACAAATTTATTACAGTTAACGTTGGATCATATGGAAGAAATAGTGATGGTGGCATTTTTGCAAAGTCTTCTTTAGGACAATGACTAGAAAATGGAACACTAAATGTACCTGCAGCAAGGCAATGACCTAACTCGGATATTATTACACCATTAGTTATAGTAGCCGATGAAGCGTTTCCTTTAAAAACTTATATAATGCGACCTTACCCAGGTAGAAAGATAGTAGGAGATGCTGCTAAGTCACATTTTAATAACAGATTAACGCTAGCACGACGTCTAGTTGAATGTGCTTTTGGTATTTTAGCACAAAGATTCAGATTGTTTTCTAGAAGAATCAAAATGGCACCAAAAAATGTTGATAATATTATATTAGCGACTTGCATACTTCGTAACTTTTTACGCAGCAAAAATGACATGGCTTTTACACCACGTTATACAGAACAATCTATATCAGAATTAAGGCAGTCTATTCTTAATCCACTAGGACCACAACATCACAGACAATATACTAACGATGCATTTCCGGTCAGAGAAAATTTTAAGAACTACTTTTAATCACCATTCGGATATTTTTAATAAGTACAATTGGTTATAGGATTTATATGTATCCAGGTTGCCATATTAAACAGTATACCAGTCTGGACACATATATCCCATAACTGATTGTACAAAAAAGATAACAAACAAACAAAAAGAAACAATAATAAGTATTATAGTTTTCTATAAAGGTACATAAAAAGCATCGTCATGATCGTAGAATAATGACGGTTCTGAAAAAAACACGAAATTTACTTTTTACCATATTTGGATACTATATTGCCTAAATATTATTCGACGCGCGGGGATCTCCCGCAATCCTCTCCCACTCCCGACGAATCCGCGCAATCGTCACTTTTCGTCGAACTCGCTCACGTGTTGCAGCGGATTAGATTTTTCTTAAACAATTGCACTAGTTTTACTTTATTTGCCTGTTTGTTAGCTATTGCGTGCCTAGTTTGTTTTATATATTATATTAAAAGGTGTGCCACAATGAAAACAGGACGATCAAAGCTTATGTTAAAACTTGTGAAAGAAACAAGCAAAAATTCGAAAAGTACGGGTTTTACTCATGAAGAGCGCATGGATGAGAAGGACTGCATACCAGGGACTCCAGGTAAGTTAATGAATTATGTATTAATATTATAGTATTACTTAATTCTTGTACTTACACATATTTTGCAAAGTAAATAAGTAAAGCGTCGGTTCTGAGTATCCGTCGGTTTTCTACAGAAATTATGTAGTAAATCAATGTAAAATGTAATTTTTATAAAAATAATATTTGCTCGTGATATTACAATATTACAATACATCGCCCGCTGACGTAGCAGTTAAGTGACAAAACTGACTTATCTTTACACACGATAGGGTGCCGGGCCTGGACGTCTCCCGTTAATGGACGCCCATATATATGGATGATGAGATAAAAGGATAGTGCGCAAAGGGCCGCTGCCTGGGGATCGCCGGGGCGCGTCTGGAGCTGGCGCTGATCCATCATCTCCACCAGAAGGCTTGGTGTCGGCTGGGTTTTTCGGACCCAGCAAGCGGCACCCGCCGCTGGTGGAGCACGTCGCGTGCGTTGGTCACAAGCAATGAACGCAAACGCACTGCGGGCGTACTTTAGGTCAAAAGGGGTAGAAACTGGATGTTTGGCGTATCGGGCTAGGATGCACCGTCTTTTTGTTGAGCTGGAGCCATCTTTAACCGTCACAGAGCAAAACCTGGCAGACCGAGTTCGGTATATCTTGCGCTCAAATATATTTGATGTCGCCGAACTCGAACGGCTACGACGTGAGGCTGTTCCCTCATCGGATGAAAATGCTACGGCTGAGGCGCCACAAATTGTAGAGCAACCCGCAAACGTGGATGCCGCCGTGAATACCCCAGTTGTGGTTGATTCAAACGATGATGGAACAGTCGCCCAGGAACTGGAATTAGAGCATATGAGGAGTACATTGGAAGAGGCGATTGTGGAAACGCGCAGTACGCCTCTTGAAAATCGACCGCGACTTCCCCGCATAGCCATATTCCTTGCTTAGGCAAGCGGAGTCGGGCTGTCGTGAGGGCTCTGAACCCAATGCTGGTGACCTATTTGGAAGCCAGCCGGGACCTTTGCGAGACGGACTTAATTCTTTTTGGCACCGCGCTGGCAGTCTGCCGTATCATAGGCGCCAAGGTTTCCACGGCTGGGCGCGCTACTGGCGAAAGTAGCGCTATCCCAGCATGGAGAAGAAGAATTGGGGAACGTATCGCAAAGGCTAGAGCTCTCATTGGCAGACTGATATTCTTCAGATGAGGCAATAACAGGTCAAGAATTGTGCGCACCGTCAGGATGGCGTTTGCTGGGACAAATGTCAGTTTGTCCCAGCAAACGCCATCCTGACGGTGCGCACAATTCTTAGATTGATCAGAGTCTCAGAGTGATCAGAAGAGGCTCTATGAATCATTGGAACGACCAACGGTAAGTGGAACGGGCCCAGCACCGAATCATTCCGCCACTGTAGCATTCTGGCGCGGCCTGTGGTCAGAGCCCGTAAACCACAGCGAGGGCCCTTGGACGGAAGTTGTGGCGAGTCAGTGTGCGAGTATAACGCCCATGGACACCGTCATTATAACACCGGATGACTTAGCTGAGGCGGTCCGTAGGGCCCCGAACTGGAAAAGTCCGGGACTTGACGGGCTGCATCACTACTGGCTGAAGGGGTTCGTGATGTGTCACACTGTGCTCGCCCGACAGTTTCAAGAGGCTCTCAACCAGAAGTCGCTCCCAAGCCTCTTCACTACTGGAATCACCCATTTGGTTCCTAAAGACCAGGGTACCACAGACCCAAGCAAATACCGCCCCATCACGTGTCTACCGACCATATACAAGACACTAACATCCATTTTGTGCGCGAGAATCACTTGTCACCTGGACTCAAATCAGGTGATGTCGCGCGCTCAAAATGGATGTTGGGGTGGTGGTCGTGGAACCAAGGAACCACTCCTCATTGACGCGGTCATTGGCAAAGTGGTGAAACGCAACCGTCGGAACTTCTCCGCCGCCTGGATAGACTACAGAAAGGCATTCGACTCGGTGCCCCATACATGGCTAAAGAGAGTCCTCGAGCTGTACAAGATAGACTGTACAGTTAGAGACTTCCTCGAGCAGTGTATAGGGCAGTGGAGTACGATCCTTTGTCATCTGGGCGAGCGGATGATGGCTGCGAAGAACTACATAGGGATAAGAAGGGGTATCTTCCAGGGCGATTGTCTGAGTCCAATCTGGTTCTGCCTCTCTCTGAACCCTCTCAGTACCTTACTGGAGAGCTCCGGGAGGAGATTTCAGCTACGGAAAGGAGGGACAAAAGTGACCCACCTTTTCTATATGGATGACCTCAAGTTATTCGCCTCCAGTCGCTCCCATCTTATGGAATTGCTAAACATCACTTGTGAATTTAGCAATTCCATTGGAATGGAGCTGGGGACGGATAAGTGTGCGGTCCTCCATGTTGAAAGGGGAAGGGTTGCTAACTCTGAGGGCAAAGACTTATCTATGCCCGTCAACTTAAGAACCCTTTCCGAGGCTGAAACATACCGATACCTGGGTATGTCACAGAAGATCGGTATCGATGAAGCTGGTATGAAACAGTCAGTTTGCGACGTGTTTTATGCACGCTTGACCAAATTGCATAACAGCCTTTTGTCCGGTGTGAATAAGGCACACGCAAATAACGGCTGGGTCATGCCTGTCCTCATGTATACCTTTGATATACTCAGGTGGACTCAGGCTGAACTTAACGCCCTGAATAGAAAAGTCCGCACTACCATGACGTCCCATAGGATGCATCATCCGAGATCGTCGGTAATGAGGCTGTACTTGCCGCTAAAGCATGGTGGGCGTGGCTTCTTGAGCGTGCTCACCATGCATAATCGCGAAGTGTGCAGCCTCCGTGATTACTTTCTGGCAAGCTCGGATGATCCATTCTATAAGGACGTCATTTCTTGTGATAAAGGACTTACCCCTCTATCCTTAGCCAAGGAGCAATGGCAAGCCGGCAGTGCAGAGCATTTCCGACCGGGAGACCGTATGGAAGGAGAAGGAGCTCCACGGGAGGTTCTACAAGGATCTACATGAGCCTTTCGTAGACACAGTAGCCTCCCTCCACTGGCTACGCTTTGGTGATCTCTTCGGGGAAACCGAGGGTTTTGTCTGTGCAATACATGATCAGGTTATTAAGACCAACAGCTATCGGAGATACATCCTAAAGGATGGCACCGTCTACATCTGTCGAGCTTGTCGCCATCCCGGTGAGTCACTTAGGCATGTCATCTCCGGTTGTTTGGCGCTTTCTAACTCTGAAGTACTTGCACAGGCACAACCTAGTAGCCAGAATTCTTCACCAGGAGCTCGCTCTGAAATACGGTCTCGTGGATCGGAAATTGCCGTATTACAAGTACTTGCCGGAAGCCGTGCTCGAAAATGATCGAATTGAATAGAGCCTGGGCTCTATTGGGATCGGTCCAACATCACAGACAGGATTATTCTTGCGAATAAGCCTGATATTGTGCTTGTGGACCGGGCACAGTCAAGGATATTTTTGGTCGACATTACCATTCCGTATGACGAGAACCTCGTGAAAGCCGAAACAGATAAGCAAACAAAATATCTGGACCTGGCTCATGAGGTGACTGACATGTGGGGTGGTCTGCCGACCGAAATTATTCCTGTAGTTGTCTATGTAAACGGGCTAATTCCAGTCAGCCTCTCGGGTCATCTGAGGTGGCTGGGACTACGTGGCGGACCGCTCCAGGCTCAAATACAGAAGGCGGTGCTCTTCGATACCGCCGGCATCGTCCGCCGGTTTCTTTCCCTTTCCCCCTAAACCTCGGCCGTTTGGTCTCTCATGCCGAGGGCCTCCATCTGGTTGGGCTTTTATTTATATATGTATTTTTATATTTATTTTATGTTATTGATATTTATGTATATTTATCTTTTCATTTTCATTTATAATTATATATTTGTAGAACCCAACCAGATGAGAAAACTATATTGAAACCCCCCAATAATAATAATGCGCTCCAGACCGAATTTCGGCCACGGCGGCCTGCCTCAACGGAGGTTAGCCATCGGCGCAGGACAGGATTATAGTGGCCAAGTGTATGCGCAATCACAGGTGCACTCTCTATTCCCTCACTCTCATAATCCGATGGGACGGTAAACCAACATGACCGGAGAGAGATCAGGCGCAGGACCAACGGCTTTACGTGCTTTCAGAGACGGGGGGCTTTTGGGAAATTTTTTGTTTCAAAACTTATTGAGCGTCCCACGTAGAAGTCAATTATTTTTATATTACACACAGGCACTTCAATTTTATTTATATGTATATGTAGATATATAAATTGAGGGTTGCAACGCCGTGCTGTAATTTATATTTAAACTTAGGTATCTCTATATACTTTTAGCACCATCATAATGTAGTATAAGCACATAACGAAGGCGTGCCACGTCAACAGGGCAGGAAATTAAGGGTGATTGTCGGAACGAGTTTTCGATGTAGGTAACGTCTGGTTCGAGCGCAAGATGTTCTCGTCCCACCCCGATGTCGACGCGATAAAACAGAAAAGTGTATTTTGAAAGTCATTTGACGGTTGAACCGTTTCAAAATGACTCCTGTTTGTGATGGAAATGCCTGTTTGCAAAGATAAGAAGTTAAGGGTTGTATTTTGTTTAGTTATTTGATTTGTAATAAAGTATTTTTTTACATGGTGTAATACGGTTACTTAAAGTAAATAAAAAATAAAAATGTTTTATTTCAGGAAATATTTTACAATTAGTTTGCCGAGACCTCCCAGAAAGTAATAGATTTGAAAGTGAAAGTGAATTAAATAATGTTACGAGCTTGAGGTTCGTGACAATAAAAATTGCCGATAAAATTACCTAAATTAACACTTTAATTTACTTTACACAAATTAAAACTAAAAACACTAATAATTAAACACACTAATTCACTTAATTCCACTCCGAAGCTTCGCTTGTGTCGCCGAATTCAACTCTGCCCGATCGCATCTTGCAGCGCCTACTTATATAAATTAGCAAAATATCCAGAATGTTCAAGTAAACACGCGCAAGGTACCGAGAGTTCGAGTTTTAAACTTCAAGAAGTTTAGTTCTTTGGTTCGAGACTAGATGGCGCTAGTGCGCCGATTTTAGCGCGTAACAATAAGATACTTGGGTTGGGCGAGTCTCGCTCTTCCTACGTAATCATAACAACTTAGATTTATACCAAAATATCAAAAGTAGATAAATTTTAATCTTAATAATACATTTCTTGATGTAGTATAATTCGCTAGTAATTTGCTAACGCTAATAATTTGCTAATTTCTTGATGTAGTATAATTTGCTAACGCTCTCTTGAAGAACTACAGACCGATTTCCCTTCTGAGCCGCGTCTACGTGCTGTTTTCGAGAGTCATTACGAATCGTCTCGCACGCAGACTCGACGACTTCCAGCCTCCCGAACAAGCCGGTTTCCGAAAAGGCTTCAGTACCATAGACCACATACATACCCTGCGGCAGATTGTACAGAAGACCGAAGAGTACTATCCGCCACTTTGCCTGGCATATGTGGACTATGAGAAAGCCTTTGATTCCGTCAAAATTTGGGCGGTGCTATAGTCTCTTCAGCGGTGCCAAGTTGACTGTCGGTATATCGAGGTGCAGAAGTGTTTGTACAATAAGGCTACGATGGCTATCCGAGTACAGAACCGGAGTTCGAAACCTATCCAACTGCAGAGAGGTGTAAGACAGGGTGATGTTATATCCCCGAAACTCTTCGGAACGTTGCGTTGCGTTGGAAGACGTTTTCAAGCTATTGGACTGGAAAGGATACGGTATTAACATCAATGCCGAGTACATCACTCACCTTCGATTTGCCGACGATATAGTCCTTATGTCAGAATCGCCGGAGGACCTTGGCACTATGCTCAATTACCTCAATGGTGTCTTCCAACGGATAGGTCTTAAGATGAACATGGACAAAACAAAGATCATGTTTAA